AAATTCAAAAATCTTTTACGATCTCAGTAAAGGAAGATTTTCTCATCAAAACTTTCAATGAAAATCTTACGAATAGTTCTGGTTCTTGGCTTTTTTTATTATAAATACTTTCAGTGGAGGTGTTTAACTTGCTACTCTATCTCCGGGAAGAGCCTTTAGCCTGATTTTTTACTTTTAACCACTTAAGTGCTCCAAGACCTCATAAAGCATCTACACTCATTAACAGTTCTGTACCCCTCCAAAGCCATGCGCTGACGGACGATGGGAACAGTCAGCTGCAGGTGGCTCAGGTGACTGAGTCTTGCTGGGAGCGAAGGTGATCTGTAAGTGCCTGTAACATGTAATATTTCCCCTCCTCCCCTTCAGATACGTATAAGACAAAAGTGTGGGCTTGTAGGAGGGATGGAAAAAACGTCTTCTTCCAAAGTGGCCTCTGAGTCCACGTTCCTTCTGAAGTCACCTTAGAGCACAAAAGAATAAACCTTTGCAAAACTTCTGATTTACAGGACTCATTTAAGCCCTCTGGGGATTCCCTACGTGAAGTTATATGCTCATCTTCTCCATCACCGTTGCGAGTGAGCTGATGTCTGCTTTTAGTGGTAACCCAGGGAAACCACGGCAGCAAAATAATTTGAGGGACGACTTGGCAAAAGCAAATCACGTCAGCATGAAGCTCAGCAGAGCCAGGGGAGCAGTTTTCCACACAAAAGATTTACGAAGAGTCACAAACCCAAGAACTGGCTTCTGCTTTTGTGTCACTTGATTCTTCTGGTCCCTTCCCCCGTGTCTCTCCCACACTCCTGTTTGGAAGGAAGAAGAAAACTCACATCATGCTGAATTCTCTAGTCTCACGCAAAGTCTGATTTTTGTTGAGCTGACTGAGAGAGGCTGATAACTGCATTTTCTCCCTTCCAGAAGTGTGACTTAATTTCCAGAAATTTCCATTTGTCTTCTCATGAGCTTATGAAGCCCTATACCCAGATTTGCTCTGTCTTCTGTGTCCTGCAAAACCCTGCGTAATTTTAATGCTTCATGTTTCGGCTGGAATTAAAATCACCTTTGGCAGTAGAGGGCTAAGAGAAAGCTGGGACGAAACGTGCATCATCGTTAAAGAGTCAGAGAGGCTCGGTGCCCGGGCAGGGCAGGACCCCCACGACCACCAAGATGGGGCTGGGAAGGTCAGCGTCACCGCCCTGGGGGACCGCGCAGGTGTTGTACCTCTGAGGACTGGCTGAGTCAGATCGGCTCTCTCTGCCATGTCATTGCATCCCTCAAGTGATCAGATAACTCAGGCATGCCTTCATGGGGACGGGGTCTAGGCAGAGATTTCTGCTGGGAGCTCACCCTCGGACGGCATCCACGCCGTCACTGTCCTGCACAGCACAGCCAGAGAAGAGTGATTTGGGTCTCTGAGTGTTACTGCTCAGGCAGTGCTGGAAGAGAAGGTGGTTGTTCTGTACGAGACAAAACGCTATTTGGTCCTGAGGACGCATCCCATCCCACAGATGCTGCCAGCCTGGTGTTTGAATGGCTTTTAGGACTGCGCTGATTACAGGAGCGACAGCAGCATGGAAGTGGGTTAGTGTTTCATTCTCTCCTGCCAGTGGCAAACTTTGTAGTATTGGATTTTCCTTTTTTTTTTAATGAGGATTTAGCATACAGTCACAGGGTTTGTGGCGTTGGGGTTTTTTTACACTAGAGAGCAGGCAGTGCTAAGCCTTTCCATGCACAGCTTTGTGCTTCTGCACTGTGCTCATGCTGCATCTCACTGCCCATCACAGTGCTGAGCAGAAACCTTGGATCTGGTGGGTTTACACTGATGCGAACACATGAGTTTTAATGGAGAGGAGAATCAGGGAGAACCACACTTGGTGATAGCAGAGATATGGCCAGACCACTCTGCTTGTGCATCCAAACAACCCTGAGTACAGAATTAGTTTAGATCCAGTGTTACATAAGCTGTCCTTTCCATGGTGAGCCAACATAAAGCCCAAGACTTTCAGGTCAAAAATGAACCTGGACACTGTCTAAATCGTCCTTCCCAGGGCCAGAGCGATCTGTAAAGGTATATAAGGATCCAAAGGCTTCCATAGGTGTTCACTGAGAGCCATAGCCACTTTAGTCCCACTGATGTTAGGAGTTTCAGTGCTGTAAAAAAATCCCATTAAACACCTATACAAGTCTTCCTCCTCCTGAAGACCTTTGAATGTGTAGTCCTGGGATCCCAGACCAGCTCCTCTTGAAGTAGGTGGGAAACTTTCTACTGGCTTTGAAGAGGTGTTTGAGGCATCAGCTCCAGCGGTGTGCAAAGTCACCTGGAAATGAAGTGTTACTGCACTGACCTGCACAGTGCGCCGGGGTCGGGACTTACACAACCCAGCAAGCAGCTCGCCAGAAGAAACACCGAATACAGAGGGTTTGCAGGAGGGGGATTAGCATTTCTAGCCTTCACGGTCCTCGAGAGTTTGTGTTTGCAAATAATTCTTTCCACAAATTAAAACCTTCTGCCTCTGGGGAAAATACTGATTTTATTTTTTTTTTAACTATATTAGAGTTTTGGTACAAATCAAGACATGGAAAAAAACTTTAAATATAGCCTTTCATAGAAAGCATGCAATTTTCACACTTTCACCATAACAATTCATAAAAAGGAAAGTCAATACTCTTCTAGACAATTTCCCAAGTCTTTAAAGACTTGGGAAAGACTTCCAAAACTTAAAAGTTAGGGAATGAATCAAGGCTTTAAAGAAAGCTCAGAAAAGACTTTTTGAGTTCTGCGTAATTATATTAGGCAAGACTAATTTTGCCCTAATAGCTAGGGCAAAATTTTTGAATGAAAGCCAATGAACTCTGAAGCTCCGGTGACAGAGTGAAGCATTTCTAGAGTTAAGCGTTTCAATTTTCTGATGTGCAAACATTGCTCAGCAGTAGGAAAGAAGGACATTCAGCAACTAAAGCCATAGAAATAGGAGTGGGGAACCACAGGGCTCGTTTCTTAGTCTGATCCGGTAAGTCTGAGCAAGTCATTTCACCCCTGTGAGCACCAATGCAGCCCAGCTGCATCGTGAAGGTTAAATAAATGAAGCAGGTTCTTTACAAGTGCACATTACTTTCTCAGTGAAACCGGGTCATTTCATACCAGCTGAGAATTTGGTCCCTACTGCTTAATGATCTTTCTTTGCATCTTGAGGCGACTCCAAAAGATAACTCTTCTTTATATGCAGGAGGCTGTGAGATGTGTTATCTTTTAGAAGCTTAGAAAACTGCTATATATTTAACAAAAGAAGCCATTGGCAGCTTGTAATGCTGGGGTATATCTAGGAATTTCCTCAGTCCGCGGAGGAGCGCTATTATTATTGCCAGCATAAACAAGCTAAACACGTTGAGCTCTGGAGCACAAAGCTGTATAGACTTGATCCATCTAAAAAACACTTTGGCAACAACAACACTGCCTGTCTTCACCAAAAGAGGAGTTGCATCTTTCTCAAATTTATGAACAAAGAAACTTAAGTGCTTCTGATTACCAGCGCACCTGCTCCCCATATGCTTATGTGCTTCTTATTTCTTTCTTTTATGGATCCCCTGGAGCATCCTGGGGGAGTGGTTGGATTCTTTCTCCATCTTTCCATTCATCTCTGGCATTTCTGAATCCCTACAGAGCAAAGACACCACACATCTGCAGTAGATAGTGGGTGTACAGCAAATGCTTGACCGCTGAGGTGATGGTGCTGCGTGGGTGGGTGGAGAGGGGATGTCTCCATCTGAGCAGACGGAGCACCCGTTTGCAGATGAGGCTTTCCTGGTTTTGCAGTCTGCAGAGGGACGTGGGGTTGGCTTGGGGTGCGGGGTTGCTTCTGTATTTTAGAGGACTGAGGTGCAAGATATGTGGCTATCTAGGGAAGAAGTTAGCATGCCTTGTAACCCTACCACAGGGCAAAGTTCCCTATTGGTTTTAGTAGTTTTATCTTTTTGCCATTTTATCACTTTTAAAAAAATTGCTTCCACAGCGATTTGGAGCACACAGTTAAGTTCTTGTCAATATTTTGAAATTTTAATACTTGAAGGGGCTTTTGATTTGTCCCACACTCATCTCAGTGATGTGCTGAGCCTCCTCCTGAGCCGTACAGCGGCGAGGACGAGCCCCACGGGCACCCAGCCCCTCCATGCTGCAGGGAGGGTTAGCACAGCAGCTCACCATCCCACCACGGCAGCCTTGCCACAAACATGCAGGCAAATCCTACACGTGCCTTTGTTTCCCTGGGCTGCCGTTTGTTAAGCTCAGCTCCAGCGGGGTTTCTAGACAGCGCAGGAGGCCCTTACAAAGCCTTCCTGCTTTTGTTTGACACGAACAGTGACTTCCACTTGATTCAATCACTGCTTAAATTGATCCTCCATTTAATTTTATCAAAACTGTAGTAATCAAATAATTTGTACTAAAAAGATTACAACTTCCACTTCTTTATTCCGATCAGTTTTAATCCTTTAAGGCACAAGGTTTATTGGATAATTTGATTATGAGATAACAAAACGCTGTCATTAAATCTACAAGGAAAGGACAGAACACAAAAAAGAAAGTTAACAAGATCCCAAGGAGTGCTCATAATAAACAAAAAATACAATAAAATACTGTTATTTAGAAGTCACGCTACGCACAGTGAAAGCTAAGAAGCATCCTGCTGTTTGCGAGATGAAAAGATCAATGGCATGTTTCAGTCGAGACATTTCTGGCAATGAACTGCACTGAAAAGGGGAAGACAACATAATTGGATGTGAAAGAATTTGCCTTGTTTGAGTGTTGACCCACATGAATGACTGTATGTCAGTGGAGTTTGAGTTTTCCCTCTGTGCAATCAGCCTTCAAAAGCCAAAGCCAGCAGAGTAAGAGGAGGGAAAAGATTTCCACTGCAGGCTGTTTCTTTACTTCTGTGAGAGATAAAACACAATCTCCTGCTCCACTGACCCTTCTCGTCCCTTGACCGTGCCACATCTCTCCCCCGCAGGTCAACACCTTCATCTCCTTCGTGTTTCCCATGGTCATCATTTCTGTGCTCAACACCATCATCGCCAACCAGCTCATGGTCATGTTCAAGCAGGCTGCCCAGGAAAACCAGGTCTGCACCATCGGCGGGCAGCAGACGATGCTCAGCATGTCGATGGAGCCCAGCCGCGTGCAAGCCTTGAAGCACGGCGTGAGGGTCCTACGTAAGTACTCACATATTTTGGCACGGAACTGGCTAGAGGTATCTAAGTAAATACGATTTGAAGAGTAATAGGTTGGAACTGGTAAATGCTTTCACACAAAACATATTTTAAATTAAAATTAGCTCTTTTTGGAAATCCAAATTGCCCCCAAATGCTTTGACATTGGCCAAAATTGTCCAATCCTTGTCTCAAAGCCCCAAACTTTGGAAAATAAATTTGTTTGTTCTCTTGGGCTCTTTCCTTCTTCATCTATTTCTTGCTGAGTCACCAAGAGTTTTCTAGGGAATTTTACCATCTATTTTCCACTATTTTCTTTTTCTCCCAGAGTCACTTTTCTGAGTCCTGATCTTCCCTTAAAGGATAAAAAAAGAAAATCATATAGAGAAAGGAAGCTAAAGAGATATTTGAGTATTATTTAATTAATGGTGCTCAATGGGGGAGAAGCTGATAAATGAAAATTTCAAATTTAAGGAAAAAATATATTTCATGTTCTGTGAAATAGAAACAACTTGATAACATCAAGTTTTCCTGTTTCTTTTTCTATTTCTGGCCAGCTCCAGCCGGAACACCTCTCTTTCGGCTGGTGCTGGTTTTAGGCTCTGATTGTGACCGGGAGACTGATGTAGTTTTAAAACCAAACTTGTTTTGTGGGATTGGGTTTGAGGAGATCAGCTGGAGTGGACACATAGCACAGGGTATGCAGCCCCACTGGCATTGCCCATGGTAAATTAGATGTGCAAATTCCTCTCAGCTGTGACAAGCAGAGACTTTGGAAACCCAGTGCTGGTGGTCTCCTTCCCCTGCTCCCAAGGTAAAAGCAGGAGCTGCTCTGAAGGTGTTCTCTGCTTCATTAGAAGTGTGTGGAAAATCAGTTTTCCCCTGAAGATACACTCGTAGGACAAAGGAGTTTCTTGCAATCAATCACAGCTTTAATTCAGATTTCCATTTTCCTCTCTCTGTTAGAAAAAAAAAAATGGCCAAATGACTCATTAAAAAAAAAATACTTTTGATCAATTCAGACTCTTCATAATGGTGCTCCTCTTCAAAACTCTGATAATAGCAACCCTGATTTGACAGCAACACATTCCTCATGTAATCCCATACACCTGATGTTTTATAATATCCCAGAAATAACTCCACTGCACCCTTGAAAACCTGAAGCGAGACAGTGGCAGGGGCGATCACTGTGTTGCCTACGGTGAGAGAATTCCCCTATTCCTGTCCTGCACACAACGTCTCCCCAAGTCAAGTGTTCAGCTCTGGGGTAAGGTGAGTCCAATTTATTGCCTTTCCTGGAGGCCAAATGTCTCACTATAAACTCAGCAGAGTTCCCAAGGGACACGAGTGCACCCTTCTATGAGTTGCACTTTACCTTCTCCCACCAGATATTGCACCCAATGTTTGCCAGATTCTGACCCAGCTAATCACAATATATTAAAGAAAAGACATTTTTTGCCCCAAGCCAAATTAGTACGCAGCAGAAATTTTTGAAAAAACGCTGCTTCTGATATGATTTTAACTAAATTTTGCAGCCTTTTGAGGGCTGGCTATCGAAACATAGTTCAGTCAAATTCCCAGGCCCTATTCTGGAAAATAGCTTCATCCATATTTCACACGCAATAAAAGGTTCACGTTTGCACATGCGATGCCTCAAACACCATTGACAGCTGTGAGCACAAGTGGCCATTTATGGACTGCTCCGGTGGGTATTCATAACTTCGTGGAGAAACTAGACAGAACTTTGGTCTCCATGGATGAAGACAGAAAGAGATTCAATTTTTTTTTTATTCCTCCAAACAACCACATTTAGGGTAACCACAAATAATCCTTTTCTTTTGCCTTTGCTTGTTGATATGTAGAGCTAAAGAACAAACCTGGTCACACACAGAGACTCTCTGAAAAAGCAAAACTAGCCCAGCATTTTAATGATTCGGTCAACAGCAACTTAAGCCTTGCATACATCACTTCATTCCTTTTCTTTTTCTGCAGAGCTCTGGTTCAGACAAAGGTTAAATAAAAGATCCTGCACCCAGGAATTGAGCTGTACTGCAAAATACTGGATGGCTTAATTAAATAAGCTGAGGAAAAGACCAAAGAATCTGGTAGCTTAAACTGACAGATGATAAAGCAAAAGCTCTTCAAAAATAGTACCCCAAAAAATCTAATAAAGTATGCCAGTACTGGCTATAAACTGTGAGAGTCCTCGTGTGCATTAGATGGTGGGAGTTTGTTAGCAGAAAGCTTTCTGACCAGTGCTTTTCATGGCAAAGCTCTTGGTAGCTGAAGTGCTTTGGCCAAGGCCACATTTTCAACAAGGAAAGAAATCCCTAGAGAAGGCACCAAGACCCTCCATGAGACTTTTCCAGCTGTTTTTCACGAGGGGTGCGTCCCACGCAGCACGCTATGCCCATGCCATAGGCAAGCCACCACGTGCACCCCGGCTTCGAACGCCACGCTGGGAAACACCTACTGAGAAAAAGGAGAGAAAAACCCAGAAGACATTAAATTCCCTGTAATTATCTTGTCGGGCTGGGGTTATTTACTGTCTCTGCACCCCAGTTAACCATCATCCATCCGGGGATAAGAAGTGAGCCTTGCTTTGGTGCTGAGCCTGCAAGGACGGGGCCATGCAAGTCCCTCGGTTCCCCGCTATCTTTTTCTGTTTCTTAACGCTTCTGCCTACTGCCATTAAGTGAGAAGCTGCCTTTTCTCACTTGCACTACAACATCTCACACCTCTCTCTCTCCTTTTAGTATTGTATACTCTTTTAACGTCAAGAGGAGAGAGCTCTTCATGAATAATAACAGAGACACCTAAATTTACTCCTGCCATTCCCTGGGCATTGCTCGGTGGTGGTGGAAGAGCATCCCTCACCAACAGGTCCATGTTTCCTCCGAGGCACTGAAAAACAGCCCTTCTTTCTCCGAACAATAAGCTTTATTTTCTTCTTCTCCAGGCAAATTTTTGCTTTTGTTATGAACTGCAAAAGCTGAGAAAAGTTAGCAAAAGCGAGGGCGTCAGTCTGGAGCCTGAAATGGTGTAAAAGTGGGTCAGACGTGGCACCGTGGGGCCCCGCGGGCAGCGATGCACAGATATTATGTGCATCTCCACAGTGCCACGCCGGCAGCAGGACCGAGCTCCCTTCCCTGCTGGGAAGGCAATGAGAGAGCGGCTGCTTGCTCCTTTTCTGGACTGAGGAAGCTCCAGCAAATAAGAAATCCACCGTCAGTTTTGTCTGTGATTCACCACATCATGGAGAAAGGCTTTTTTTATCTAGCAAGTGTGAGTGAAACCCTGCTTCATTTCATTTTTCAGATGCACTTGATTACTGGAGGTGCTTGATTCACATTTACTTTTGTCACCTGTTCCTCACAACTTTTTTTTTTTTAATAAACCAGGCCTCTGAGCTGTCTGAAAAGTAGCAAAAAATAAACAAGGACGCACGTGATTTATCCGGGGATCCATGGAAGCCAAAACCATGTACGCAGCTAGGCTAGTTTATGGAAGGGGGATGGGAAAAGAAAAACGACACTTGTCCACATTAATAGAACTGTTGGCACAAAACCAGAGCTTCATGGGGGGCCAAAGTATTTTCCATTTCCAAAAGTGAACTTTGGCCTGAAGTACAGAGAGCTTGATTTTGTTTTAAGGCTGAAATATTTCAGAACTTGTAAAACTAGTGCTCAGAAAAGAAATTTTTGCAGTTCATGGTGTGCAGAGCTGTTGGGTGAGATCAGAGCAGCAAACACCTTCCTTCCTTCCTCCAGATCTACTGAGATTATGTATTTATTTACATTGAAATAGGAGCTAAAAGTGGTCGGGCTAACAGCTTCATTCAAAACATCCACCACATCATTTTCCTCCTCTTTGGTAGCATTTATGTATTTTCTTGGCTCTGTCTGACTTTGGTCATGTACAAAATAATTAGGGAGATCAGGATCAAGGAACATGTCAGCCCTGCTGCCTGGGAGCCAGCTCCTTAATTCATTAAGCATGTGATTTCTGACCGTAATTCCCTCTCCGCTGTCAGCGCTCACCAGGTGTGAGGATCCAAATTCAGAGAGTTCCAGGCGCTGGCAGCTTCCCAGCTCTTTTGTGAGGATAACAGGGCAACGTCTGCACCAGTGCTGCCACTAAGGACACCTCCCGCCAAGGGATTTCATACCCTCCTTCATCCATCCAATATTCCTTCCATTTCTCCGATTATAAACCACCTCCATTTTTTGTTATTATTCCTTGGCTATATTGCAGTGCTGGGAAGCTGAGTCTTTTGGGCACTGTGTGATGCTTCACGGGAGGGTGAATATTCTCTGATTGCATCGCCTGATACACCAATCATTTGGTAACATCCTAAATAAATCTTAAACACACACACATGCACACACACCCCCTTCAGAATAAGCAGCCTTTAGAGGTAAAACCTCACGTACACCGCCCAGACCGTTGCGTACTGTATCCAGACATAGAGGGGCAATATAAATCTTCCCCATCTCAGTCTCACATTTCCAAACAGCTGCTCAAAAATCAGGGCATATTTGAGCTTGTCTCAGGCTGAAAGCACTGTTTGGCCAAAATGTCTTCTCGAAAGGGGACAGTTTTGTGACATGCATTAATCGTCCCCCTCAGTACACCAGCCTGCAGTCCATTCTCCTCCGAGCAGCCCTCAACACCTCCCTGATTGCCTGTCAGATCGGTTCCCGCTGTGGATGGAAGGAAGGGGCTCTTGAACGGCGCAGCTGAGCTCTGATAACAACGTTGAGACAAACTGATGGGCATCAAGGAGAGGCTTTGCACGTCCCTGGGCGGACACTGGTTAAGCCTATGAAAACGTGATCAGTTCCAGGTAGCATTTGCTCCGTTACAGAAGCTGCTTAGTAAAAGCAATTATAAAGGACTTAAAGAGGTTTAACCAATTAAAAGAATATTCTTCAGACTCCCACAGCTGGCTGGGTGGTGCCTCAGTAAGATGCTTTTTAGGAGACCAAGTCAAACCATATTTT